GGACGCCGGCGGGCAGGGGTGCGGGGGACCGTCTTTGATGGGGACGGGGTCTGGAGGGGGAGGGCCCCGGTTCTGGGGTGTCCCTGGAGGGTCTGAGGGGGGAGCACGAAGAAGGGGCTCTAAATTTGGTTTGTCCCCGTTGGGGCTGTGTGAGGTGGGGGGAGAGGAGGGGACCCCATTTTGGGGCCTCCTCAGAGTCTCTGGGTGGACAGTGGGGTTGGGGCTGCCACGGGTGGAGCTGCTGCCCCAGGGAGCGTTGGCTCAGGGGACATCATGGGGTTTGGGGGTGCCTGGCAGGCTTGGGGCATTTCCTGGGGATGGGGGTGCTGGGAGCAGGTTTCCCTGCATGAGAGACCCTCTCCAGGAGTGCAGCAGAGCCCCAAAGCCGGTGGCCAGAGGTCTCTGGCACTGATGTCCGTGCTGACTGCCCCGCAGATGGCTTCGGCAGCACGAGTGTGTGGAGAAGCTCAACATGCACGCCATCCTGAGTGCCTCCACGGGCCAGGAGCAGCTCCTCACCGAGCTGCTGGTCACCTACGCCAAGGTGAGCCTCCTTGGGTGCGGTAGTGATACCCATGCCAGGCCTTCAGCCTTGAGCTGAGGTTGTCTTGGGGACAACGTGTGCAATTTTGGAATAAAATGGTGAAGAATCTGCTGTATCTTCAGCGAAGATGTTTGACTGGTGGTTTGCCAGTGTTGATTTTTTAAAAAAATTAAAGGTCAAGCTGTGGTATTTCTACTTGCTGGTCTCTGGTTCCTCTCTGGAGGTTGCTCTGTTCTCTTTTGTGCACTGGCTGCTCCAGTTGCGGATCTCTGCCCTATACCTGGGGTGTTGCTGCCCCAGAGCGTGCTGGGCTGCACCGGGACGTGTGGTGCCCTAGAGCTGCCCAGCTCCTCGGGGTCATCTTCCCCCTTTGCAACCCCAGGAGCTCTCTGCCCTCTGGTCTGTTAGTGAAAAGCTGTTGATTTCTGAGCTGGGTGAATGCAAAGACAGCGTGCCCCAAGGCCTCCCTCCTCTGTGGGATGACTCTGAAGTCTGTGTGGCTGCGCATTAGCGATAAAACTGCTTCCCACTCCGGCACTGGTCTGAAAGGTTTCGCTCCCCCGTCCCTTCCCTGTCTAGGTTCCTGTTCTCATTGGGGAGCTGATCTCTGTGGAGATCTGGAAGCACAAGATCTTTCCCGTGCTGTGCCGGCTGGAGGACTTCAAGCCAAGAAGCACCTTCCCCATCTACGTGGTGGTGAGTAGAGGGGGCAGTGGGAATGAGCCTGGAAATTGGCCGGGCACTGCTATGCTTAAAAATAAATCTCACCCTGAAGATCTCAGAGCTGGGGTTTTACATCTCACCAGGCTGAGAAGCCGTGGTGGACAGCGTGACATGGTGGGAAGCATCTGGTTTCCCAAAGCCACAAGCAACAAGCCCGTGTCCTTGTCTCCAGGAGGGACAGGGACCCGCTCCCAGGGGAGCTCAGCTCCATGTAGGGCTGAGCCCCTGCCTAATCCCACTCGGGGGCTTGCTGGAGCTGCTGGATGCAGCAAAAGCTGCTCCTGGAGGCGGCTGTGCTCCTGGCTCACAGCTCCCAGCGACTTCGTGCTACCCTGGCTCCCAGGCAGCAACACCCCTGGGGTAGTTGCCCCTCTTTGAGCACTGTTTTTCTCTGGCACTTCTAACCAGAGGGCTCTCCAAGGTTACATGCCTCTGGGTTAAAAAAAACATAGCTTTTTCTTACCGAGCTTCTGGGAGCAGTGGTCCCTTGGGCCATTCTTGGCAGGGGAGCAATCTCGGGAGCTTGGCTTCTCTGTGGAGGCATGCAGCCCTTGACCTAAGGGAATCTGCCCGAGGCTTGGAAGTTTTAGCCCACTTTCAGTCCAGGGTAACACCTTGCTGCGGAAAGGTGGTGTCTTCCCTAGGCAGCCGTTTGTCTGCAGCATTGCCTCGAGGCAGTTATCTCGTTGTTCCCAGTTTCGGGACACAGCTGTCTGCCCTGGTCCCAGGGGGCTGAGAGCAGCGCAGCCATGCAGAGCACTGTCCCAT